CCTACTCTTTCCGAGCGGACCAATCACAGTCCACAAGTACTGTAACTGGTACGGTATGGGCTACAGTTCAAACTCAAATTTCTCGGTAACGAATGACTTATTTGAGCTGTTGCTTGGGCAATGTATTAACGAAAATCTTCTTTTTTACATGTGAAACACAGGTACCCAAGTTTGCAAACGGTACCTTAAACATACTTTCAGCAATTTTTTTCTACCTAATCTTTGAACAGAACTAACCCAGCATGATCATAATGGTCCCCTGCCAATGCCATGAAGCACTGCTGATACCAATAATTTATTAGAATTGTTAAGAAACTCATAGAACAAGCGCAAAGTCGTAGTCAGCAGACAGTTGTGCGCGAGACTCAAGGCACAAAAGCTTATCAGTAAATCATAATACATGATAGAAAACACAACTATTTCGAGGTTAGAATGTAAGAAAAGGAATCCAGTAAAGTCTGAGAAGACAAGAGCTCGAAAAATAAATGGAACCAAGACTCCCAAGATTTAAAAGTATAAAGCGACAGAAATAAACCACATCTAGGAAAAATAATCAGATTTCAAGTATTTGGCCTAGCAATGCCTACGCAATCAAGAACAGAATGCATATGATACATAGAAGATATGAATACAGAAAACAAACATTGGAGGTGAGTGCAAGCAAAAAGAGCTGAGCTCCTCTTCGAATCGTCATCGAAGCGTACGCGGCTAAAGCGGACCGGTTTCGGCTCGACAAGAAATCTGGAATAGAGGAATACACGCTCCGCCAGCTGTTATCAAGAGCCTGTTGCAAAGAACTTTTCTCTAAACAAGCTGCTTTGATAAGACACAATAATAACAATAACTAGATACTAACATTAGCACATGAGTAAGCAGTACAAAAAAACATGCAATTCTAACGATTGCTGGAAAAAATACGGAAGTCAAGAGGAGTACATGGAGCGAGACGGTGCTAACAAACGACAGACATTAAAACTCTTTCACTCTTACTCGCGTTCTCTACCTCGTATGATGGACCTGCTGCAAGGAATTGAGGCAGTGTCCCGGCAAAATTTCGTTTATCAGTTTTTCACCTTTTCGGAGCCTTCCCGCCGTAAAAAACCCATATCTGGGCTTTTCAGCGCATGCAACAGGCGAAAGTGGGCTTTCGCAAAGCTTTCCATGTCCGCATTCAATGGAAAAAGCGAAGGTGGGCGGAGTCCGAAACGAATGAGGCGGGGCGCGGAAAATTTTCGGCGTATTTTCACTAAATGCGGACCGCTTTGGAAAAGGCTCACTTTCGCCATTTGCATATGCGAAAAACCCAGATATGGGTTCCTTACGACGAGAAGAATCCGAAAAAATTAAAAACAGGAAAATTTTACAGGAAAACATTCAAGAAGAAAAGGCAATCTAGCGGGGTCTATAACGAATGACTTGACCACATCTCACTCAACGTGAAAAATACCCAACTATGCAAGATATAGATGGCTAAACTGCTCGAAAAGATCGCGGTAAAAGGCTAAAAAGAGGATCAACACAGGTACCAATAAAGAGAACGAGAGAGACCGCGCTTTCGAATTCCAAAACTGCGGTCCAATTTAGTCCGTCTGCAGGCAGGCTGCAATCACAACCGCAACAACATCTTGACTTACAATTTACAAAGATCCGGATCTTTGATCGTTGGCCATATGATGATCGAGAAAACGGCGATATTCGTTCGCAGTGCGCCAGTGAGCATTACGTAGAATGGTCTAAATGGCAACGATAACACGAAAAGTAAACCCAATTTCCACATTTTCAGAGTACTAACGCAGCGATACCCCGAGCAAATATATAAACAGTTTTGCGTATTGATAAATGATTTCAAAAACATAACGAGGATATGTGCTCATACACACCTGTGGCCGCTTAGATTTCAAGAACTCCATTGCTACATTTGGTAGCCAGTCGTGTTTCTTGACAAGATAGCAAACCGCTACTGTAGCGCTTCGTGTCCGTCCTGCCTAAAGAGAAATACACCTAAGAAGGCAGAATAATAATCGTAAGAAGTAACGAGTTGATGAT